CAGCAGTGTTTACTTTCCTTAACATGACTAGTCGCATAGCATCATCCATGTGGACTCTAGTTTGTTCATGCCTTTTAGTTTTTTCTGATATGTGCTTTAAGTCACTCACATCTGTCTGGATCCATGCTGGGTCTGGTCCATAGACTGGTCTGATCCTGACGTTTGAAAAGGGAGGCAGGGGAAGCTCAATATAGCACTGGTGTTGCTACAGGTAGTTAGCCCAGCCTTCTTGCTAAACCAGCTCCTTGAAAAAGAGCAGGTATACTGCCTTCCTCTGTCCTTAACTCCTGCCTATGTCAGGCTGATCAGGTCCGAGCTCTTTTACTCTCAGCTTTCCCTCCAGTGTCCTCCTCTCAAAGGCTGTTTCTTTAAGTGATTAAACATCATTTTCCTTCTCCATATTCGCTATCTAGTTTTGTTTACACTCCGTCTCCGTCTAACCCCTAGATTCCACCGGGTCCGTCTGCGGCACGTTACGGGCGCGTTACGGCTGCGCCGCGGTGCTCACAGCGATCGCGGCCACTCTAGTCAATGGGTGCTATTCCACCACACGCGGCGCGTTACAGCTCAGAAGCGTCCCAGAAGCGTCCCGGCGCAGGGCTCCTCTAAAATTAGGATCGAATCCTATTTTTGTCGCGGCGCAGCCGTAACGTAAGGTCGGGCAGGCAGGAAGTGGAACCTTCAGAGCATATATAGCATATATATATATATATATAGCATATATATATAGCATATATATATATATACACATATATATATATAGCATATATATATATATAGCATATATATATATATATATATATATATATATATATATATATATATATATATATATCATATATTATATATATATAATATATATATATCATGATATATATCTATATAATAATATAAAATATATATATAATGATATATAAATCTATCTCTCTATATATATATCTTACTCTCTCTCTCTCTATATCATCCGCATAATCTATCTATTTCTTATCCTCTTCTCATATATCTATATATCATCTCCTCTATCTATCTTCAGATCTCTCTCTCTCTCTCTCTCTCTCTCTCTCTCTCTCTCTCTCTCTCTCTCCCTCTCTCCTCTCCTCTCTCTCTCTCTCTCTCTCTCTCTCTCTCTCTCTCTCTCTCCCTCTCTCTCTCTCTCTCTCTCTCCTCCTCTCATATTCTCATTCTCATCTCGCATATATATCTCATCCTATCTATATCTTATCTCTACTCTATTCTTATATATATATATACATACAAACAAATTTTGCAGACCCTATCCCTCCGTAGTCTTTCAAGTAGGAGGAGAAATGCCAGCGTTCTCCTCCGGTTTACAGGCACTGTGTAAATTATATATATAGAATAATTATGATGATGAATGCATTTTTTTACCACTAAAATACAGCAACACATCTTTGATTCATGTCGTTTATAACTGGAATATTACAGTTATTAACTTTGTCTGTACAAAGTAGCCTGTCCAGGAAATATGCCCAAATCAACAAAAACTGCGAGCCGGCAGGCAAGACGCTCCGCTTCTGAAATGCTTCTGAAATGCGCCTGGTAGGGTATGACGCCGGAGGAGGCCGGACCAAAACCGCAACGCAGCGCAGACGGACCCGGTGGAATCCACTCAAACGTCAATCACTCACTCTGGCGCTCCTGCTGCCCCCTAGTTGTTGGCAGTGTCAAAAGCTGCTCCTATCCGTTGCGTTGCGTTGCGTTGCGCTGCGCTGCGCTGCGCTGCGCTGCGCTGCGCTGTGCTGTGCTGTGCTGTGGTGTGGTCTCGCGTGACCTGTTTCAAGTTCAAATGATATAATAACTACGCTCTAGTTTTTGTTATCGGAACAAGGCTTCATGATATCCTCCACAACAGCTACAGTATATAAACACGACAAAACTGATTTTGACAATTTTAGCCAAGTCTGAAGGTCTCTAAAAAAGAAAGTGTATAATTTGGTCTTCGGGTCTGGGAAGACCCGGCAGAATTGTTGTGGGTGACTCGGGGTCAAATTTGGCCCGATCAAGATTCATCTTTGACTTTAGACACCCCCCCCCCCCCCCTTCATCCACTGTAACAATAATTTTACGCAAAATGCACCTGGTCTCCCCTCCCTCTGGCCCCCCTCCCCCCACGGGAACTCGACCTTTCACAAATAATATGTACACTAACACTTGAACCTGAACACACACATGCACGTGTGCAATATGTGGTGTAATGTGTTTTGGGCCATACAATTAAATTACAACAGGATTGTAGGGTTATGAATGCATTATAAGTTAGTTATAATGTAGTTAAAACAATAGTGGATGATAGTCATTTATTTTTTGTGTTTTGGACTGAAATAAATCATGGGTCAAAATTGACCCGCGAACACCATGAACGGTAACAGCTTTTGAACACAACACAAGGGTTAAATGTGTTATTGTTTGCTTAACAAATAAATGTGCTTTCACACCTATAGTTTGGTTCATTTAGTTTGGGAAAAACTGTATAAAATGCTATATTGTTAGGTTTTTGTCCAATTTCTATTCCAGTCATGTTCTACAGATTGGCAGGTTCCTCTGATCGGAAAGTTTTGTTCACAGTCATCTGGCATTTTCAGGACCCATGTGCAGAAACACTCAGGGGACTGACAGAAGTTTCTGCAGAACATTAATAGAGTGGTGCAGGGATGACGTATTCACCCGGAAGTAAGCTGCGCATGGGTTCCCTCGACAAAAAAAGCAATGGGATTTCTCCATAGGATTTTGGAAAATAGCTGGAAATAAGGTCTGTGAAAAACAAACCTGTTTGATAAATGCACGTTTTGTTCAGCCGGATAATCTCCACATGTCTACCCTACTTTTATAATTTTCGAATCATAAATCTAATCGCCAGAAGCAAAATGCTAACGTTATGCAATAAAGGAACTACAGCCGAGTACAGCAGGGTCGCATGACTTTAACGTCACGCCAACTTAATTATCGATATTCAAACATACAGATTCTAAATTGTACAAGTTGAAGCGTTTGTTTTAACAGTTTGCAGCGCAGGTACTTGCTTTCAAGCAGAACAGCGGCAAACAAACTTAGCTGTAATGTTTACGTGTTCGGTGTAATGACGTACAACGTCCTCCACAACTTCTGTAGTCCTATTCAGCCACTTGGTAACAACCATCGTTTTTCAGACACGTCAACTCTTCAAAAATCACCAGTGGGGTCACTGCTGATGTATTTAATGTCGTAGAACAAAACGTGATCAGTCTCTTCAATGCGTGTCAACCACAGCCCTTATTTACAGATATTTTCCAAAATCCTATGGAGAAATCCCATTGACTGAGACGAGGGAACCAGTAGTGGTAAAATGCTAACTCACTTCTGGGTTTTAGGACTCGTCACGGCACCACTCTATGCTTGTGCGAAATTAAAAAAAGGATAACTGACAATATATAGGGCTGCAGAATTACTCAAAATGTTATTAAGGGAGTAGTGGATTATTGAAATTGTAGGAAGTAAAGTATTTTAAGAGGCTAAATATGTGTTGAAGATCATGTTGATAGGTCTACTAGAGAGTGTTCTAATGTATGACTGCAGCTCCTCTGCTCTCCCTCTCTCCTGCCTCTTTGACTCGTCTGTTGTGTCGACATTCATTGATCGCGCCACTTCAAAGGCTTAAATACATATTGTCAGGGGCGAGGCTGCATGTTGAGTACTAACTAAAGAGGAGAGCAGAGAAGCTAGGCTTTAAAGCTCATAAAAATCACCCAAGTCAAAGTCAGCAGACCTACAGCTCGTCATAAAAAGGAGGTCTCACCCTGAAACAAAGAGGCGTGGCCTCAAAGTGACCCTCATTTATGATTGATGTCTTCTCTGCAATGCTTGTTTTGAGTGACAGCCAAGCTGTGAGGTGATAACTGTGTGTGGGTAAGTTGGCTCTATTCGCTCTCATGGCTTCTCCTATCAACCTCCCCCAGTTCTCCCACACTATACCTCTCCTTTGCTCCCTCCACTGGCTGCCAGTGGATGCAAGAATCTGCTTCAAGACACTGGTGCTGGTCTACCAAGCCGTGAAGGGAACAGCCCCTTCCTACATCCAGGCCTTGGTTACACCATATACTCCAGCACGTGCGTCAGCCAATCGGCTTGCTACTCCATCACTGCGAGTGGGACCCAGGCACCCCTCAAAAAACACACCCGTTTGCTCTCCTGGCTCCTAAATGGATCAGGACAGCAGAAACTCTGCATATCTTCCATCGCAAACTGAAAACGCATCTATTTTGAGTGAACCTTGGCAATGAAGTTATTGCTGAACATTTCTTTTTAAAAGTACTTTTTGAGTTAATTTAGGCCTTGTTACTAATTCACCAGTACTTACTATGGTATGATCTTGCTTGAAGTGAATATATCTGCACTTTTCTTGTTGTTCAGAGTTTGATTCTTTATGGTTTTTGCACTTACTGTAAGTTGCTTTGGATAAAAGCGTCAGCTAAATGATATATATATATATATATATATATATATATATATATATATATATATATATATATATAAGGCCTGCAACCTTGGGTGCTGTGCTCTCAGTGTTTTGTCTCCCTGTTTCTGCCTGTTGGCGTAAGCTGATAAAGGTCTTATAGTGCTTTGCCTGTTTTATCTTGTTATGCACAATGTTGATTATTCTCTCAGAACCAGCTAAATACATGGGTCTGCGGAAAGATATTCAGAATTGGTTTGGCCCCGCTGTGTCACGTCGTGGCTGTGTCACGTCGTGGCTGTGTCACGTCGTGGCTGTGTCACGTCGTGGCTGTGTCACGTCGTGGCGGCAGCACGATGTGGCGGCAGCACATGTCTAATAACATTTTTAATGCATTATTATTATTATTATTATTATTATTATTATTATGTCTTGATAATTCTCCAGCCAAAGCTCCAAATAAACCATTAGTGATTGCCATCAAGCTCCAGCTCCCCCGTGTTTCTCCGAGTCTCGTCTACATTGCTTCAGAAGTTTCCCTCACACTTACCGTATGGAAAGCGGCTGGTTGTGATGACGCTGCGTTGAGTGGGCGGTCCCTGGCCACCACCAGCTCCACCGTCTCTCCAGGCTGCTGCAGGAGGGCGAGGGCCTGCTGGTGACTGATCCCCGGCTCCAGAGGACTGCCGTTAATCACCAGGATCTGGTCCCTCTCCTGGAGACGCCCGTCCCTGCAGCCACAGCATAATGTCAGTCAGGACATTTTGATAGCATGACACAGGATAAAAGGATAGTATCAAAGCAACTTTAGATAGCAGCTCAGCAGCTAGCTGGTTCGATTTGAATAATTGACCCATGATTGTATACGTTGCAAGGCTCCAAACAAGCCACTTGTAGGTGCTAAAACAGAAAAGATGGAGGAAGAAAATAAAAAATGGGGAGGAGAAAGATGAAGAGGATTAACAGTAGCAGAAGAAACAGTAAAAGAAGAAGAAGAAGAAGATAAGGGGAGAAGGAAGATGAAGAGAATGAGAAGTAGAAGAAACAGGAGGATTCAGAAGAGTAAAAAACACAGAAGAAAAAAGATGAGGAATAGGAGGAAGAAAGGCCCAAGATGAGGGGGAGAAGAAAGAAGAAGAAGACTAACACAATGTACACTGTACTGATATTCTCCATCAGAGTTTGTACATGTTTTAACCCATTTACAATGAATGACCTACACAATATACTATGGCAACCTAGGATCGATTGTTTATTATTCTGTTATCAAAATCGCAGTTTAAAAAAAGCGCAACTACCAAAAGAATTGCAAATATAATTACATCAACAATGACCAAGAAAGCTATACAATCTGAAATACAACTAAAAACTTGTTTTTTTTGTTGAGGAAATGAAGACCAGCAGTACCTGGAGACCTTGTTTTAATTTATAGGCAACACCAGTAAATCAATAGGCAATATTGGCACTGAATACTGCTGTTATATATTTTCCTTAAATCATTCAGCTCTACTGCCAACAGTTCTACATTCTGAGGGTTCAGTATCTTAGCTGTTCCTAGGACTGCACTCTTCTGAGGGTTCAGTATCTTAGCTGTTCCTAGGACTGCACTCCTCTGAGGGTTCAGTATCTTAGCTGTTCCTAGGACTGCACTCTTCTGAGGGTTCAGTATCTTAGCTGTTCCTAGGACTGCACTCCTCTGAGGGTTCAGTATCTTAGCTGTTCCTAGGACTGCACTCTTCTGAGGGTTCAGTATCTTAGCTGTTCCTAGGACTGCACTCTTCTGAGGGTTCAGTATCTTAGCTGTTCCTAGGACTGCACTCCTCTGAGGGTTCAGTATCTTAGCTGTTCCTAGGACTCTGCTCCTCTGAGGGTTCAGTAACTTAGCTGTTCCTAGGACTGCACTCCTCTGAGGGTTCAGTATCCTAGCTGTTCCTAGGACTGCACTCTTCTGAGGGTTCAGTATCTTAGCTGTTCCTAGGACTCTGCTCCTCTGAGGGTTCAGTATCTTAGCTGTTCCTAGGACTCTGCTCCTCTGAGGGTTCAGTATCTTAGCTGTTCCTAGGACTCTGCTCCTCTGAGGGTTCAGTATCCTAGCTGTTCCTAGGACTGCACTCTTCTGAGGGTTCAGTATCTTAGCTGTTCCTAGGACTGCACTCTTCTGAGGGTTCAGTATCCTAGCTGTTCCTAGGACTCTGCTCCTCTGAGGGTTCAGTATCCTAGCTGTTCCTAGGACTGCACTCCTCTGAGGGTTCAGTATCTTAGCTGTTCCTAGGACTACACTCCTCTGAGGGTTCAGTATCTTAGCTGTTCCTAGGACTGCACTCTTCTGAGGGTTCAGTATCCTAGCTGTTCCTAGGACTCTGCTCCTCTGAGGGTTCAGTATCCTAGCTGTTCCTAGGACTCGGCTCCTCTGAGGGTTCAGTATCTTAGCTATTCCTAGGACTCTGCTCCTCTGAGGGTTCAGTATCTTAGCTGTTCCTAGGACTCTGCTCCTCTGAGGGTTCAGTATCCTAGCTGTTCCTAGGACTGCACTCTTCTGAGGGTTCAGTATCCTAGCTGTTCCTAGGACTCTGCTCCTCTGAGGGTTCAGTATCTTAGCTGTTCCTAGGACTCTGCTCCTCTGAGGGTTCAGTATCTTAGCTGTTCCTAGGACTCTGCTCTTCTGAGGGTTCAGTATCTTAGCTGTTCCTAGGACTCTGCTCCTCTGAGAGTTCAGTATCTTAGCTGTTCCTAGGACTCTGCTCCTCTGAGGGTTCAGTATCTTAGCTGTTCCTAGGACTGCACTCTTCTGAGGGTTCAGTATCTTAGCTGTTCCTAGGACTGCACTCCTCTGAGGGTTCAGTATCTTAGCTGTTCCTAGGACTGCACTCCTCTGAGGGTTCAGTATCTTAGCTGTTCCTAGGACTGCACTCTTCTGAGGGTTCAGTATTTTAGCTGTTCCTAGGACTGCACTCCTCTGAGGGTTCAGTATCTTAGCTGTTCCTAGGACTGCACTCTTCTGAGGGTTCAGTATCTTAGCTGTTCCTAGGACTGCACTCTTCTGAGGGTTCAGTATCTTAGCTGTTCCTAGGACTGCACTCCTCTGAGGGTTCAGTATCTTAGCTGTTCCTAGGACTCTGCTCCTCTGAGGGTTCAGTATCTTAGCTGTTCCTAGGACTGCACTCCTCTGAGGGTTCAGTATCCTAGCTGTTCCTAGGACTGCACTCTTCTGAGGGTTCAGTATCTTAGCTGTTCCTAGGACTCTGCTCCTCTGAGGGTTCAGTATCTTAGCTGTTCCTAGGACTCTGCTCCTCTGAGGGTTCAGTATCTTAGCTGTTCCTAGGACTCTGCTCCTCTGAGGGTTCAGTATCCTAGCTGTTCCTAGGACTGCACTCTTCTGAGGGTTCAGTATCTTAGCTGTTCCTAGGACTGCACTCTTCTGAGGGTTCAGTATCCTAGCTGTTCCTAGGACTGCACTCCTCTGAGGGTTCAGTATCTTAGCTGTTCCTAGGACTACACTCCTCTGAGGGTTCAGTATCTTAGCTGTTCCTAGGACTGCACTCTTCTGAGGGTTCAGTATCCTAGCTGTTCCTAGGACTCTGCTCCTCTGAGGGTTCAGTATCCTAGCTGTTCCTAGGACTGCACTCTTCTGAGGGTTCAGTATCTTAGCTGTTCCTAGGACTGCACTCTTCTGAGGGTTCAGTATCCTAGCTGTTCCTAGGACTCTGCTCCTCTGAGGGTTCAGTATCTTAGCTGTTCCTAGGACTCTGCTCCTCTGAAGGGTCAGTATCTTAGCTGTTCCTAGGACTCTGCTCTTCTGAGGGTTCAGTATCTTAGCTGTTCCTAGGACTCTGCTCCTCTGAGGGTTCAGTATCTTAGCTGTTCCTAGGACTCTGCTCCTCTGAGGGTTCAGTATCTTAGCTGTTCCTAGGACTGCACTCTTCTGAGGGTTCAGTATCTTAGCTGTTCCTAGGACTGCACTCCTCTGAGGGTTCAGTATCTTAGCTGTTCCTAGGACTGCACTCCTCTGAGGGTTCAGTATCTTAGCTGTTCCTAGGACTGCACTCTTCTGAGGGTTCAGTATCTTAGCTGTTCCTAGGACTCTGCTCCTCTGAGGGTTCAGTATCTTAGCTGTTCCTGGGACTGCACTCCTCTGAGGGTTCAGTATCTTAGCTGTTCCTAGGACTGCACTCCTCTGAGGGTTCAGTATCTTAGCTGTTCCTAGGACTGCACTCCTCTGAGGGTTCAGTATCTTAGCTGTTCCTAGGACTGCACTCTTCTGAGGGTTCAGTATCTTAGCTGTTGCTAGGACTGCACTCTTCTGAGGGTTCAGTATCTTAGCTGTTCCTAGGACTGCACTCCTCTGAGGGTTCAGTATCTTAGCTGTTCCTAGGACTCTGCTCCTCTGAGGGTTCAGTATCTTAGCTGTTCCTAGGACTGCACTCCTCTGAGGGTTCAGTATCCTAGCTGTTCCTAGGACTGCACTCTTCTGAGGGTTCAGTATCTTAGCTGTTCCTAGGACTGCACTCCTCTGAGGGTTCAGTATCCTAGCTGTTCCTAGGACTCTGCTCCTCTGAGGGTTCAGTATCTTAGCTGTTCCTAGGACTGCACTCTTCTGAGGGTTCAGTATCTTAGCTGTTCCTAGGACTCTGCTCCTCTGAGGGTTCAGTATCTTAGCTGTTCCTAGGACTCTGCTACTCTGAGGGTTCAGTATCTTAGCTGTTCCTAGGACTCTGCTCTTCTGAGGGTTCAGTATCCTAGCTGTTCCTAGGACTCTGCTCCTCTGAGGGTTCAGTATCTTAGCTGTTCCTAGGACTCTGCTCCTCTGAGGGTTCAGTATCTTAGCTGTTCCTAGGACTCTGCTCCTCTGAGGGTTCAGTATCTTAGCTGTTCCTAGGACTCTGCTCCTCTGAGGGTTCAGTATCTTAGCTGTTCCTAGGACTCTGCTCCTCTGAGGGTTCAGTATCCTAGCTGTTCCTAGGAATCTGCTCTTCTGAGGGTTCAGTATCTTAGCTGTTCCTAGGACTCTGCTCCTCTGAGGGTTCAGTATCTTAGCTGTTCCTAGGACTCTGCTCCTCTGAGGGTTCAGTATCTTAGCTGTTCCTAGGACTCTGCTCCTCTGAGGGTTCAGTATCTTAGCTGTTCCTAGGACTGCACTCTTCTGAGGGTTCAGTATCTTAGCTGTTCCTAGGACTCTGCTCTTCTGAGGGTTCAGTATCTTAGCTGTTCCTAGGACTGCACTCTTCTGAGGGTTCAGTATCTTAGCTGTTCCTAGGACTCTGCTCCTCTGAGGGTTCAGTATCTTAGCTGTTCCTAGGACTCTGCTCCTCTGAGGGTTCAGTATCTTAGCTGTTCAGCAAAAGAACAACATTGTTGTAAAATAATATAATGTAAAATAGACTCTTTATTATTTACTTCTGTTATTACTGGCTGCTCCTTCACTTCTTTATATGTTCACTTACTAGTTATCTTTTCTATCCTGGATGTGGTTAGTGTAATATTTAATTTTGGCTTTTATCTGAACTATCTATCTTTGTTGTAAAACTGTCCATGTATCTACTGTAGGTGGAATAAAGGTCCTTGATTCTGAGCTGCATTGACATGAAGTCTGTAAGATTGGAAATAAATGGAAGATGGAAAAACACCAGAAGGTTTCATTAAGTATGACTTGATGTTAACTGTAGGGACGTTAAAGCTGTAGGCTGAACCTGTGTGCGATGCCTCCATGCTGGATCTGTTTGACGAATACGCCCTGACTGCTGCTTCCTGCGGGATTCAGACCGACCACGCTGAAGCCCAGACCTCCAGACAGAGGCCGAGTGAGCTGGCACACCTCTATGTGAAGGCCCTGCACAAACACACACAAACACACACACATGTATTTAAAGTGTGTTTATAAAGAGAAGTGCAGGAATGAGTCTTGAAACCCTGAACCCAGCACTTCGGGTTCCCCTCCCCTCGATGGTTTTTTGAATGAGTTTTTGGTTAGATGCCTGAAATAAGATCTATGGTTAATACAAGCTTAAGAGATGTTCACGTTTTGAAAAATACATGAAATACGTCACTTATTAGCCACTTTAACTAGCTATGGTAGATGCACATCCATCAGATGTAGTTTGTTCATAGCCTAACACTTGTTGCTTCAAAACTCATAAAGGTGGTGTTAATATATGGAGATGATCCTGCTGTGACAAAACGTGTAATCAACATGAACATTTGTTCTACAATTATCTAAAATCCAATGGAAGAATCTCATTTGTTGTTGCAGGCATGTTTTCTTGGCTTCACCCACCTTTGCGGCAACAAGGATCCATTTCTGTAGGTTGAATTCAGATGAGGGCGGAGTCTGACGGATGGGTGGAGACAAGGCAGTGCTCATTAGGGAGGAGGAGCTGCTGACTGGATCAACAGCGCTCATGATCAGCTGACCCTTTTTGGAGAAACTGAACTCACTGCAGGCTTCAGGTGGCATACTGCTCAGCTACAACGTGGAGGAGGAGAGGGGGGGGAGGACAAAGAGGTGAGAGAAAAGGAGAGGAGGAGGAGAAGAGGAGAAAAACAGGAGGAGGAGTGCGGGACAAGGAGGGGGGGAGGAAAAAATAAAAAAGAGAAGTAGGAAGAAGAGATAAAGAAGCAGAGGAGGTTGGGACATTTAAAAAAAAATCAGAGCACAAGAAGGAAGTAGTTTGAAAGAGGAGATGAGGGATGAGGAGATTAAAGAAGAGAAGTAGAAGACATGAACGTGGAACAGAAAGAAGAGAAAAAGGAAGGGGATAATGAAAAGGAAAAGAAAGGGGAGAAGGAGGAATAGGACAAAAAAGAGGAAGCAGAAAAAGAGTGACAGAAAGAGGAGAGAGGTGCGCAGGAGGAGGAGAAAAAGAAAGAGAGGTTTGTCAGATGAGGGAACATGTTGGAGCTCTGGAGCTGTGTTTGGTGAAGCTCTCTGACTGGCACACCGTGCATTAAACACCAGCGGACCAACAGCACAGTGTACTGGCTCACTATCACGCTAGGGTTTCTCAGGGTCCCACAAACCAGGATCTGCTACATGGAGTTCAGAAACCAGAGGCCTGTACTACGAATCTAGTTCAACATATATGGATGGCGCCAACATGGATATGTTTGAATTAGCCGGTTGACTTAATCCAAAACGTACCCGCTCTCGCTAAGCGGTCCTACGACGCTGGCTATCAACTCGATCGCTCAAGCCAGCCGTGTCCTATCTAGTTAGGTGCGCGTTCACATGAAAGGGGTGGTATTTGGAGTGATCGACCAATCACAAACATGGACAAGCCGCGTACTGACAGCGCAGCGTCATACTTCCTGAATGAAAAGTCAACTATAATATTAGACATATGAAGAAGTTAAACTTTAAACACCCATGACTTAAACACTTTATCAAGGATCAAAGCCACATAGCTGCACCTGCAAGGTGAATACAGCTGGTAACAGAAAAAGTGTTTGAATGCGTACATTAACAGGTTTATGATGTGAAAAAAAAAGTGAACCAGCATCGTAGGACCGGAAATCCAGGAAGTTAGCTCGCTAAGCGAAAATCCTGCTTCGTAGTACAGGCCTCTGGTCACTGTGCAAGTTAACACCTCACTTATTCTTTCCACTTTCAGACGGTATTTATTTGGACAGTTTTTGTTCAGCTGCTTGTGTTTACACACGTACATATTGCATTTTTTATAGATAGATATACATGTTAAAGTACAGGCATTGAAAAACTAAAAGAATTCTGAGACTCATTAACTGTAGCATAATTATAGAAACATTTGATTCAATCAACATATTATCAGTCCTGTTGTAGGTACAACAAGACTGATCAATGGTCAATGAAGGATAATTAATCTCATCTATATATTTTTCTTCTTAAATAAAAAACACAAAATATCATCTTATTTATTTTTCAGAAATGTCTCCCAAGTTTAAGATTTGATAATTTAACGATGATAATAAACGAAAATTATTTAGTGGAAATGTACCACTTTAATCCCAGAGTATAGCATTTTTCTGTAAATGTACCACTCTAATCTCTGAGATTCAGATGTATTTTTAGGGAACATTGCCTCCTTGGACCGGCTCTTTCCCACCCCTTATCATTATTATTTTTTACCTAAAAAAAGCCCCAGTGCATCACTTTATTTATAAGAATCACTAGAGGTAAAAAAAGTATAGACAGAACAGGACTTCAGGTTTTACCACCTAAACAACGTCAACTCATAAAGACACAGGAGAGAGAGACACGCTCTATATGCAACGACATTGTCGACAGAAAAGAAAGACATGTAGTTAAAAAAATGAAGCAGCGAAGCCTGGGGGTAAGTGTGGAGTAGAGAGGAGAAAAAGAAAATCAATAGATTCCTCTGCAGGCCCTCTCTCTCTGAACAGGTAATGTATTAATGACCTTTACACTCACATTGTGGAAACTTATCAGTCTGCAGCTTATTTAGGCCGGGGCTGACGGAGCAGGATCCAGAGCCATTTCATCAATACGCCTCGACAAGGCCGTTACTCAAACCAAGACACTAGATATTAAAGCTTGATAGATCCGCAGAGAGCCGTGGGGAGGGGTAGGAAAATAAAGAAAGAAAGAGAGAGAGAAGTCCCCGCTTCATATACCCTCCACCGGCTTCCACCCAACACTTTCATAGACTCAGCTCTGACCTTCGCAGCACTTAGAATATGAAGCCCGGCGACGGTTATTGCCATTATCTTAATTTGGCCTGCAGATTGTTTATTGTAAAGGCTCGGCGTCAGTACGGGCTGGAGCTGCATACAGATGAGGGGGCAGGGGGGGGGGGGGGGGTGATTCGATGTGACAGGTCACGCTGTTGGACAGGATGCAGCAGTGTGCTGACACGTGATAGGCTGTGGACACCTGGGCGGTGATACACATGTCGGACTAATCGAAAATACTTATTAGTCAGCAAAATGATCTAAATGAGTAAGCGACTCACAGTTCTGACAAACAATCTGAGAGAGTGAATTCCTTTTCCTTTCATACTGTATAAACTAGTGTCATGTGATATAGTGCGTTGCCTTCCCTAGTCAGCCTCCTGAAGCTGACTGAATAGAATATCTTTCACAATGCCCGTTTCATGTATAATGCAGTAACAATGCTCAACAACAGACTGACCTTATTCCAAGTTAAGGAGAATTTAGTGGTTTAGGTTGCATCATTTTGTTTTTAGGGTATTTATTTAGAGTTACACATATTTTATCTTGTAAATGTTTCTGTATGATACATTCATTATCTCCCATTGTAGTTGTGTTGGTCATTTGTATTGTGATTACTCTCTTGTTTAGTGTCTGGGACAGTGTTCTAAAGCTTTGGATGCTTTATTTGACTGTCCCACTTCGCATATCTCCATTCTGTCTGATGGCGTGAGGGAATAATGGCAGACCGTGAGGATGTGTTGTGGATTGATGGCAGAATGTCAGTAGATACAGGCTACAGCTTCTTAAGAAGAACGTCTTTGGGTTTGTCTACTAATGAGGCTCCTTTTTCCTGGTATGTCAGTATGTTTTCAACTATTTTTTTGTACGTTTCAATAAGACAAATTGGTTTGGTTCTAAAGAAAGTACTTCCAGTTGCTGTGTAACAGAAAGAAAAGTTGATAAGTGATGTTGGATTTAGGATTTGAAAACCCAAGTTTAAGACTGGATGAAGACAGGATGCCTAAAGCTAGTTAGTATTGGTAAATATCTTAATTTAGACTCTTCCTATAACTATAGCATTACGGCCCTAAACTCTTCGGGAGGATTGTGACCTGCCTCCATCTGCGACAGGCTGAGGTGAATGTGTGGCCCGTAGCTCCAGTGTATCTCAGACGTGTTTTAAGCAGTGCTGCTGGGGTGTGAGCTGCAGGTTGCTCTTTGTGTATCTCAGACGTGTTTTAAGCAGTGCTGCTGGAGTGTGAGCTGCAGGTTGCTCCAGTGTATCTCAGGCCCCGGCTCCACGAGGACAAATACGGCAAAACGCATCGGAGTAACGCAAATGCAACCGCAAAAAACCTTCCGTCCCCACGCAATATACACCGGATTGTGTCAAGCTCCACGAGACGGCTCCGTTTACATCCAAACGCTGGAAAAGCTGCAGTACATATGCCGAACCTGTACGTGGCGCTGTAACTTCCTCCACAAAAGCAGCAACTTCCTCCACAAAAGCAGCGAAGAAGAATGGTTGTCATGGCTGCACTTCTGTGTATTCTCCGCGGTGGGGGCCGACAGAACCGGGCAGAGTTTTTCGCCGGTCAGCGTGTGTTAAAGTTTAAATCTTCCGGACAAAATTATAAAAGTGCCGGTCAAAGGTCTTCTTTGTTATTTATTGAGCTTTAAAACAAATGAATAACGACTCTATATAATGATATATAATCATCAAATAAACACGGAGCCTGTCTCTTTTTCCTCTCTTCTGACAGCGTCAGTGTCTGTCTCATGCAGCAGCTGATCCTGTAATGAGTGACCCGACAGTAAAAATGAACATATTTATAACTAGTTTAGGTAGTTTGAGAGGTAATTAAAATAGCTAAGGGTGATGATCTGACTTGAAGTGTGTGTTTTGCTCCCGCTGCATCACAGCGGCAGGAGCTGCGTGTCTCCGTCCTGTCAGATTAGACTTCACTCGCGTTTATGTCCATATCGAGATAAAGATAAATAATCTGAATTCAAGGAGGAGCTCCTGTAGATGTTGCACAAAGAACTGTAGCATGGTCAGTAGCGACTGGAGCACGATAGCAACCCTGCGGGGGAGAGGCGGGGCTATGAAAACGAATGACCGTATAGGCGACTCCACGGCCCCGTTGGACCCCCCAGAGCGCTCCGTTCCCAGATCTATCCACCTTTGGACCCGTTGTCGTTTGCGGGGTCTGTTTCTACGTTTCCCTTACGGCGTCGTCGAGCTTAGAGGGCTATACGCATGAGAAATATGCGGATTCAACCCGTTTTCGTCCTCGTGGAGCCGGGGCCTTAGACGTGTTTTAAGCAGTGCTGCTGGAGTGTGAGCTGCAGGTTGCTCTTTGTGCATCTCAGACGTGTTTTAAGCAATGCTGCTGGGGTGTGAGCTGCAGGTTGCTCCAGTGTATCTCAGACGTGTTTTAAGCAGTGCTGCTGGGGTGTGAGCTGCAGGTTGCTCTTTGTGTATCTCAGACGTGTTTTAAGCAGTGCTGCTGGGGTGTGAGCTGCAGGTTGCTCTTTGTGTATCTCAGACGTGTTTTAAGCAGTGCTGCTGGAGTGTGAGCTGCAGGTTGCTCTTTGTGTATCTCAGACGTGTTTTAAGCAGTGCTGCTGGGGTGTGAGCTGCAGGTTGCTCTTTGTGTGTCACCTGGCTGCGGAGCTGTTTGATGGAGTGCTGTAGGGTGAGGATGTGGCTGAAGAGGGGACTCTGCAGGGTCTCCCTCAGGTTGCCCATGGTTTCACTGTGGGTCCACTCCTCCCTCTGCAGCAGTTTGGCCTGCAGTCGCTCCAGAGCTCCCAGAACCTGCTGCCGCTCCGCTGAGGACGCTGAACACAGGACGCATTCATTAGACAGCAGTAACTACACAAAGAGAATGCAATTCCAACTGATGGCTGTTTGAAATGTTAAACAGGTGAGAGGATTTACCTGCTGGGACATTTTCAAACATTGTCCTCCCTCCCTCTCTGTCTGTCGCTCTGGACCAATCTGAAAAGAGAGACAGACAACAATATTTCACATGTATTTCAAACACAACACATAACGGACAGTTTGTGTGTATAAATCTACCAGTTAATAGTGCAGTCTGTTTTGCCGTTTTAAAGCTTTAAAAAAAAGCTACAGTCGTGTCACAACCAAAGAGAAAACACTTCAAAGCAGAAAAACACTTTCTTTTTCCTGACTGGAAACAGTGTTGTTGTTCAACAAAGAAAGAGTTCAATGTGACTTTGTTGTACTCAGGGAATAAGTGCTGTCAAAATGAACATTATACTTTTTTCTTGGCACATTAAAAATTAGGAGACTAATTGTGATATCTTCAAATACAACTTTACCACAGGGCTTTACTGAATGGTTTAGTTTAATTAGCATTTGATTGTTTTAAGCTGTTTTTTGTTTTTTATTGCATGGTGAAAAACACTTTGAATTGTGTTTCAAATGTGTGTCAAAATACACTTTCCCTATTTATCCTAACAAGAAGCTGTTTGAAAGAGGACTGCACTTGAGGAAAATACAAAGTCATAATTTAAGAATGTACAGCCAAGACCAACTATAAACATCTGACTATATTGCTTGAGGGAAAATGGTGGAGAAAGGAATCTACAGGAGCTAATATTTAAACATCTGTGCAACCAAATCACGAATGAGCTTCATTCATTTGGATGCATTCTGCTTATGGAGTCTGGCAGTCAACAGCAGCCAAACCCCATCCTGAACATATTTCCCATCTAACTTCTTCAATTCTGCCTAAATGCTTAAAGTGCTATAACATATTTAAAAAATATTTAAATGTTTTGCAGTTTTTTATGCAATGAGCACATTAACTCTGAACACTTTAGGTACATTCTCCTAATCGTACTTAAATACTTGTACTTACCATTCTCAATTCAGTACTTTTACTTAAAATGGAGTATTTGTACAGTTACTCAAATAAAGAATCAGAGTGCTTTTTGTGGTGTACCCTCCTCATGTGCTCACAGCTGATTCCAGCACTGACAGGCTGCTAGTGGAACAGGCTGCTGTGTGCTGCGTTCAGGTGCCTGTCTCAGGTTTCTCAGGTTAAAATCCTCGTTATCAGCACGGCTTGTTTACACAGTCAGAGCAAAGCAGAATCCACACACACAGATGGTAAAACAACCAGACCAACATTCTCCAACCTGCACATCAAACAGAAACTGACCTGCTGACATGAAACCTCCTCACACCTGTAACCTCACCTGAGAAACCAGGAAGTGAAACTCAAACAATTCAAAAGGGAGGATGGTGAATATTGAAACCATAAGTTTGAACTAATCAATATAAATGCTTTCTCAAATCCATATTGTGTATATTCTACTATCCTAAAGACGGCTGACAGCTTAAAATCTTGAAGTAAATCTGTTGTCAGCAGGTTCAATTCGCAACAGGTGCATCAAACATTATTAAACCAAAGAAAAAACCTTTGAAGCAGCCGCTACTTCTTACAACAAACGTGTTCTGATTTGCGACAAGACCCAACTTTACTTATCCGTGTGTTTATAAACCTAAACTGAGATTAAACAGCAACCAACTATTTATCTTCCAGCGTGTTAACTTACAGCACACAGCTAACAGCTGGCTACACGTTAGCATGCTAAATTAGCTTGGTAAATGGCGTCTAAAAAATAGTTTTGAATAATTTAGAGCAGATAAACAGTCGGAGGATAGAGCTGAAAGTCAGTGAGGAATTCTTAGAAAACAGACAGGTTTTAAAGGGGTTTTGAACTGATGTAAAAACTCACATGAAGTGAATCCAGTTTGGCATCAGTGTTGCTTTAATGCTGCGTTCAGGTGCTATCGGAAGTATTATCCAGTGCATGTTTAGCGCAAGTAGAATAATGGTGGATGTTATTAGCATCATTTAACAACCGAATGCCCCCCCTAACACCTCCCTTTGGGAATACAGTGTGAGGCATAATGATGTTTCCATGTCCATATTCTTTGCTTTACATATGTTACACATTTTTAGTTTTTGCTATGCGATATTTTTTCTAATAATATCCTTTTTTTCACAATATATTAAGTTATTTTAAGTACACTTACTCAATTAGTGCACTGTACGTTTTGATGTCCTTATACATTGCTTGAGTATTTGCATATATTGCTACCTTTTACTTCTTATCGACAACATTTTTGCAGCGATTGCTAATTAAAGGCGCAAATATATGCAATTAAACAAAATACAACCAATACAAATCATCATTAGGGATAAAATAAACAACGTACAATGTTGTCACAGGTTATAAACAGGTTAATGTCAATTGTCATTAATATGAGTTGCAAACACAAGAATATACACCTGCCAAAACATAAAAACGTAAAGATAGTTGAGAATCATAGAAACCAAACAAAAAAAGGTCAATGACAAAGGTGCAATGATCACAGCTGAATATGTATACATATATATATATATATATATATATATATATATATATATATATATATATATATATACATATTACACTCTTTTGCAAAGTTTACTAAGTTGTTTTAATATTAATAACTATTGCTCTAAAATAATGAATTTGATTTTAATGCCACGACGTGAATTTGCTTTGCTGGTAAAGCGAAAAAATAATTTGCACTAAAAGTTCCAAAATTACTATGCTTCTAAAAGTCCCGAAAGCATCATTGTGTGACGTAACAGAATTAGACATGGCGTCCTCCTGGAGACGGCTGGTGTGTTTACGCTCCGGGGTTTGGAGCCTCATATTTTACTCTGTTTACTCTCATTTAAAGCTCGTTCTGGCGGAGGAAGTGGATAGCTGCGACAGCCTCAGACTGGGACAGTATCCTTTTATTACTGCTGACTCACGTTACTCTGAATGAACAGAAGACCAGTCACCTTGTTCGCTAACATTAGCCGCAGCTAGCTAAGCTCTATTTCATGTTAACGTATCAGCTAAAAATAACAATAAACGTTACATACAGTGTTATAATAACACATGTTCGCTGTGTTGTGTTATAAAGTGCTTACTTTGGGAATAATGAACTGCTTTAGAGACAGGACGCTGTATGCATTTACGTGTTAACGCCCATGTAGAAGTGTTTCTGTTCTAATAGGATAATAACAACATCCGGTTTATATATGTGATCATTGCACTTCCACATCCTTTAAGTATAAGATAAGATGTACTTTATTCATCCCAAATAGATTTTTTTGATTTGCAGCATTAAAAACAAGGCATTGCACACCATTATAAATGCAAAGAGTTTAAATTCTAAAATGTAAACATCTAAAAATAGAAATAAAACAGCATCAAAAAGTAGAACATATAAAGATGACTGTGAAGATAAAACATCTATAAACTATCTGACAAATAAAACACTATAGAAGGGCCAATGTTCACATAACACAATATAAAGCAGGATATCTTTTACATGAAGTGTTTAAGGAATGGAATATGAAATGAAATATAAATGTAAAATGTACATTGTGAGTTGAAGTCCAGTTATCCAAGAGAAGCTGTGGAGCAGAGCGTTCTCTGCAGCAGGAGGGGATGTGTTGTACACAGTTATGGCAGTAGGTTCTTGTGACAGTCCTATTCACATCACACAGTAACATACTCAACATATGCTGCATTTATAGCTGCTTATTTACACTCAGTACCCGCCTGATCACTGCTAACAATACATTTGGTATTACTAATATCGATTCTGCGATCCTAACTCAGTTGCTAGTTGATCTGATACTAATCAGGGTTTGTTCTAGAACATACAGTTTGATATGGTTTGAAATGTAAAAGCTGCTGAGCCATATATTGCACCTCAAACAACAAATAACCTGAGTTCCGGTTTCTTGACTTCCTCTAAAGAAAAAAAGGACAGTAAAAGAAAGTGATTCAGAAGTGTCAGTGTAAGCTGCTGCCTGCCACTCGTCCCCGCAGACCCACCGCACACCCACCCCCTAGTTACTCAGAGCTCCATCAGAACAAAGCTGTCTGTGCCGTCTGACGCTCTATTGGACACCATTTTCTAATGTTTGGAGTAATTATACCGTTTCTGACGAACATAAATGTTTTTTTCTGGCATCACTTTCAAATGTTACGGGGACTGGTATGAGGGCGCAAATGTTCCAATTTCAGAACAATGTACTTTGCTCTGCTGTTGAGTTCCAGTGTTAGAACAAGCTGTGTTCATATGTAGTTCATATACACATTGCAAAATATTATAAACCCATTCCAGTATAGAGTGATAGCATTTAGTGTAGAGCGAGTTTCTGAGTTAGCCACACCATCCAATCACAGCTGGACAAATGGGAAAGGGAGTAGACACAATATCTTTATATACATGTATGTTAGGTAGGGGATTATAAATAGGATAATACATTTGTAAAATACCATTTGAAAACAAAGAAAGAAAAAGTAACACCATAATAATGTATAACACTGCTCAGATCAAAACAGACTCAACAAAGCGCTTCACCATTCAGGATACTGTTAAAAGATCATCAACAGAAGAAAAGAATGATTCTGATGTAACATCTGAAAGAATATGAAAATGAGTGAAAGGAAGTAGAATGCAGAGTAATAACACAAAGAGGAAACACTAATGATGTGCTGTGTCAGCTGGAGTCCTTCACTCTCCTCATGTATCTCTGCAAAGATCCCAAGATAGATGAATCCACCCAGGAGCCGGAGAACTGCAGGGACGTGACGGCCTGGGGTGAGAGGTCACATGATGTCTTCTTCACCATGTTGTGATTTGACATGGTCTCATGTGATGTTCATCTTTTAGTCCTGCAGGATAATTAGGGAAAGGTGATCAATAGGAAATGTTCCGCGTCATCGTATCAGATGTGTTGACCCTGTCTATATCATCACTTGACCTTTGACCTCCATTGTTTATTATCTTTACTGTAGTTTTTTTGGTTAAAGCCAGAAGATTCTCATTTCACTTTGTGTTCAATTGCCTTTGTAATGTTTCTGCATATAACAATGATTACGTTTAAACAAAATAAGACTAGATGTAAGAAAACTAGTCTTCTGATCAAACACGACAATAAACTGAATATTGTCAATATTGATGGAGAAATCCTAACCATGATCTGTTGTGTGTGTGTGTGTGTGTGTGTGTGTGTGTGTGTGTGTGTGTGTGTGTGTGTGTGTGTGTGTGTGTGTGTGTGTGTGTTTACAGTTGAGTGCCTCCCAGCTCCAAACATCAGCTGTCGGCTCTCTAACGGGACAGAGTTCAGGTTTAGCGGGGAGGAGGTGGGCTTCAACAAAACTATCCCCTGCAGAAATGTGTGAGTTTCACACACACACACACACACACACACACACACACACACACACACACACACACACACACACACACACACACACACACACACACACACACACACCACTAGTTCCCTTTCTGTCTTCAGGTTTTTTTGTTACTTTTATGTGGAACATTATAATGGTGTTTTGACAAATGTAATAACATGCAAAATGATGCTTATAATGATTATTTTTGATTATTATTATCATTATTGATCACTGTTCAAATCTGAATGTATTCCCTCTCAGGAGTGGTTATTCCTACAAAGTGGCCGTGGCTCTATCTCTGTTCCTGGGCTGGCTGGGAGCAGACCGCTTCTACCTGGGATACCCTGCTCTAGGTACACACACACATTCACATACACACACGCATACTAACATGATGTTTCATTTGATGTTGTTGTTTTCTCATAGCTGTGGCAGGCACAAACCAAATTCATCTCCTTGTTTTTTCAGATAAAGAATTGGCCTCTATACTGTATACTGTATGTTGGTGAATGACAGTAAACAAAGTCATATAAATGACTGGGTGATAAAAAGATGTCACTAATGTACATGATAGAATCTTATAATATAATATTAATAATAACAAAATAATAACGATGATAAAAATCAATGATTTGCAATTTTTTGGAACATCCTGATATTCATTTATTTTCTGATATTACCTATTTTATAAGTATTGGGATAATTATCAATATGGATCAATATAAAAGCTAAATGTGATAACATTTTATGACTGTATAGTCCAGTCTTAGAAAGAAACCTCAACAGTTTTAGTCCTGCAAAGATCAAGAATCTTATTCAAATTGAAATTTAGAAATAAATGAATTGCGATGAAGGCAGTAATCTGAGTAACTGAAAACACACACAAACCCTGAAAGAAAACAACATGTTGTGACTGGACAGACAGATACCACAGGAGGGAGGAGAGGAAGTAGGATTTTATGGATTTACTTGTACTACTTTTTTAATTTTTTTTTACTTTGTACTACTCTTGATCTAAAGAACATAGTAACGTTCACACTTTCCACTTTCAAGTCAATTTAGAAGAGAAATTCTTGCTTTCCAGGAGCCGCCTAGTGGTGGTTAGAGGACCTGCAGCTGATCGCGCTCAGCTTCTGAACTTCCTGCAGTACTGCGGAAAATGTGCGGTGTTGCCCTTTAACCATTTCCACATTTGTGTTTTATTTCCAGCCTGAATTCTAATTGAATTAATTAAGCCTCTGTTTTGTGGTTGATCTACACACTGCAACAACCCCACAGAAGAACAGTTATGATCAACAAGCACAAGTTAGGGAGCTTCTTTGAATGAGACATCTGCAGCAAGACAAAAGCTGAAAGGCTTCAGGTGTGTGTGTGTGTGTGTGTGTGTGTGTGTGTGTGTGTGTGTGTGTGTGTGTGTGTGTGTGTGTGTGTGTGTGTGTGTGTGTGTGTGTGTGTGTGTGTGTGTGTGTGTGTGTGTGTGTGTGTGTGTGTGTGTGTGTGTGTGTGTGCGTGCGTGT